CCGCTGCGGACCCCGCCCAGGCCCCGCCCGGGCCGCAGGCCGGTCTCTGGCCTTCCCTGGGCGCCCAGGACGCCGGCGCTTCTCAGGTTTACTTCCTTGTCTGCCTGAGATTAGAGTCCGAGCAGGGCGGACGAGGGTCACCCGACTGCAGGCGTCCCCTTTGTGCCACACCTTTGGGTGCAGGTGCTACGGTGGGCACCTGGTTTCAGCTCAGCAGGACTTTGCCCAGCCCAGACCCCCGGCCACTTAGTCTAACCTGGACTTGCAGCCACCGCCCATTAGGCACCAATTGTGTTGTGGGTTGGTGTTCGCTAAGTTGTACGCTTCCCTGGGGAAAATGTGAGCAGTTTGGAGCACAAGTCTGAGCGTATTACATGTTCAGTGAATTCCCGACTGCTCAGTCAAGGGCCCCCACCGACTGCTGGTTTGACCTATTGCTGTTAAAACGTCAGAGAAACACAAAGATAAGCTACCTTGGACAGCTGGCTGCTTGCAGTTCTTTTTCTGTTAGGGAACACAAAGTTCTCACTTTCCTGCTTGTCTCTACTCGATTTTTATCCACGTTTCCTTTGAAAGACACGTTTTGGTGCCGCTGCTATGGGCTGTTCTCTGTAGCTTTTGTTTCTATTATTTGTTATTTAAATTAAGGAATTCATTACTCATCCCATACCCGTGAACTCGGGGTCTAATTCACTATTACTGTTCTCCTATTCGTATTCTAAGTTTGATTCACTCCAGAATCCAACTTAAATCACTGCATTTAACCCTTGAGGTAGCACTGCGTTGGACTTGTCTTTCTGTGCATTGTTTTATCTGTCCAGCTCCGTTGTAAATTGAGAAGAGCTTGTCTATCTTCTCCAATGACTGTGTGATGCTTTGCAAGAAGGAGCCATTGGAAATATTAGGTCGAAATATTAGGTTATTAAAGTGAAGAGCGACTGAATTTGCCTGTATTTAGTCCCTCTCCTTTACAAAATAAGTTGAAATAAATACTCATCTATGTTCTGTTTCTTTGGTACATGGGATTCGGGTGCAAAAGGAACTGAGTAAACGGGCCAGAAATCCAGTGCTGGTGAAGTAAATCCAGATTAAAAGATGCACCAACCCCGAGAACTTATTCTTAGAAATAACCTCTCATTGGTCCCTGTTTTATTAAGTGAGCTCAATATATTTTTGTCATTTAAAATCAACAGATACATACTGAATGGCCACCATGACAAGGCACAGCAATAAGGAATATGAGCAAACAAATGGCTTTATAGTACGGCGGTCCCCCCTTACCCGAGGAGGACATGTTCCAAGTCCCCTCTGCCCCATGGATGCCTGAAACTGCAGACAGTACCAAACCCTATATATACCGTGTTTCCTATACATACCTATGATAAATTTAAATTAGGCACACCCCAGCAAGAGATTAACAACAATCAAAACGACGACTCTAACAACATGCTGTAATAAAACCTGTGCGAGTGAAATGAGGGTGACTCGAACACAAGCATGGCTGTCACGAGATGGCCTACGTGATCTGTGCCCTGGGCGGGATCGAGCAAGATGACATGCGATTTCCTCGCGCTCCTCAGAATGCCACACAACTTAAATGTTTGTGTCTCGAATTTTCCATTTACTATATTTGGACCGCAGTTGACCGCGGGTAAGTGAAACCGCAGATAAGGGGGTCTGCTGCACTTGTCCTCACGGGACCCTTCTACATTCAGGAAAGGGGCGTAAGTATTCAAGAGCCCCTCACGTCCTCCTTGCATTATTGCAACAGCCCCCTAATTGCCATCCCTCTTTTGCCCTTGTCCCTTTGCAGTCCATTCTCGGTCAGCAGCCAGAGACATCATAAAGCATGATCCAAACACTCCTGCTAGAACCTTCCACTAGCTTTTGCTCCTACTTCGAGTAAAGATCCGAGTTCTCACAAGAACACCCCGTGCTCTGCCCCTCCCCCGACACGCTCTGACTTTCCTACCACCTTCCTCCCCGTTCCAAGCAACCACTCCGGCCTTCTCGGTATCCTATGGCAGGCTTGTCACAGTCCCACCTCAGAACCTTTGCATATGATGTGTCCTCTGCCGCCTTCAAGTCTCCCCAAATTATCAGCTCTCAGCGAGGCTCTTCCTGACCGCCGTATTTAAAATCGTGAACGCCCTCCTGGAGCGCGCACCGTCCCCATCACTCTTCCTTGCTTTATTTTTCTTGAGCACTTTCATATTCTGATTACTTTTTTGACTTCATCCTCCAGAGTATAAGCTCCATGGAGGCAGGGGGTTGTGACTGTTCTTGCTTCAATGCAGCTCACCTCACAGTAGGAGACACAGATGATGATGTGTTTGGAACAGATTAAAATTGGATGATAGAATTGGGAGCACCTGGGGGGCTCCTTTATTTGGATGCCAGAGGGAACCTTCCGAAGAGGTGAAGTTTAAGTTGCTGGTGAATTGAAGAAAGGAGGACGCCAAAGGAGGATGTTGGGGAAGAGCATTCCAGGGTGAGGGGACAGTGGACACAAAGAACCTAAGGCTCCCGAGGACTTTTAGTGTCCTCGGGAACAGGAAGGCCAGCAGCATGGCTGGAGCATATGCGATAAAGGCACGGAATTGGATGAGGCCACCGAGGCAAGTAGCTAGATGGAGGTGGCCTAGAACATAGCCCTGGGGAGCCGAGTCAAGAAAAAACAATAAAAATATGAGAAGGGGCAGCCATGGACACCCACCGAGGGCACAGAAACCAAAAGAAGTCATAAGAACAGCCGACTGTGCCAAATGCTCCGGAAGGTCAAGGAACAGAGAAGCACCCAACGGATTCAACAAGGCAGAGGTCATTTGTGACAGACCCTGAAGTGGGCTGAGAAATGAGAGGTTGACGAAGTGGTAGAAATAATGACTAAATAGTTCAAGATGTTTTGCTGTGAAGAGGAACAGAAACTATGAAAGCCAAGAAAGCAATGGGACAAAGTGAAGATTTTGATTTTGTTTCATTTTTATTTTAAAGACAGACGATACCACAGCGGTGCCTTTTAGACTTTTTTTCAGGTCAGCACAAGAGGACTGTGTTTACATTGTGACTTCTTATATCCGTACTTAAAATCATGAAACAAATTTCACAAAACAGTAATCTCATTATGCACAAAACGTCCTCTAATTTTTCATTGCAAAAGTGCAGCTTATAACCCACTAATACGTTTGAAGACCCACCAGTGGGTTTGTGACCTGACCCGAAAAACACCTGCAGTGGTGTACAGGAGCAGCTCATACCGCCTGCGAGAGCCAAGTACGCACATCGCTTCCATGTCGGCACCTTGAACTTGGCCAGGATGGAAGTATTTACACCATGGAAATACACAACTGCTACGACTTAGCCCCGCCCCAAAGCCGGATGTTATAAACATTGACCAACCCACTACCGACTGTACTCAGTGAATGATCCAGTAGAGTCGGAAAGGGTGATGCAGGAGTGGTTCTTGAGATGATTTTGCCCCAACACGGGAATACGAATTGAGAGTATTGGTTCAAAACTGTAACGTAGATGTAACAAATTATTTGCAGACAGTTGCCTTGGAGTTCCAATGATCATTTCTGGTCGGATCAATCTCTTTGTCATCTATATTGTTCTCTTTCCTCACCCTAGAAGCCACATTTATACAGCACAGTGTAGATGCAAATTTAGAAATAAAAATATTAGGTCTTATAAGCAAAATGCGAACGTATGTATTGCCCAGATTTTTGAAAAACTAATAAAATAACGTGATTTTACTCTTACGAATTGAAACTGTGTATCCTCTTGCTACTTGGCAGGGCCGATTAAACAAAAATACCTGCCTCGTTTCGTCAGCGATGTGAACCGTGTTGTTTCAAGATAGGAAAAACTTCTGGTGGTGATTTTGATTATTGCCGTGTTATTTTTGTTATTATAATTAAAACACGTTTTTGACCCTCCATTCATGAAATGGTGGTGCAAGTGCTGGGTCAATAATTGTGGAATACGAGTGACACACGATAAAACATGGTAAAGAACGTGAAATAATGGTTTTGATTTTTTTTACTGTGAATTTGGGAGCCGGAACTCTAGAGCCTTCAGCAACAATAATAAAAAAACAACATTAAAGTAAAAATTTGCCCCAACTGTTATAGATTTATGAGCTCTGAGAATACATATCCTACTTTCCATGTATTCCATGAGAAAATCAGTCTTGAATTTCTCAGGTTTTAAATTATAGTCCTCGGGAGTGCATTCTTTACAAAACCACAGCATCCATATTTCTTACACATTTATCTACTTTCCCCTTCCAAAAAAAAAAACATTATGGTTGGTGTCATGGACCTCTTCTGACTATCCTCCCCACTCCACGTGGACATATTTCCTCTTTGAATCCTCTTGTTTTGAACTAATTTCTCCTGCACCCCAATACCAGCACCTCCCATGAGCGGTTTGACCTCTTTTTTCAGCCTCTAGACCCACTGTGTTCAGATTCATCGGGCTTACCTCTTACGTTTTACAGGATCATGTCCCGAACCTAGTCTTTCCAGGTGTGAGAAACAAGCTTCTAGAACTGTGGTTTTGTCATAAAATAAAAGAATCTTGGCGGCGGGAGAGAATGAGATGCTGTTCTATTTTTTAAATAGTTTTCTTGAATAGCTTTGGCAGAATATGGTATGTTAACCAAAGAACGCCATATTGTTATTTGACATGAGAAAAATATATCTGAAACTATGTAAATCGAAAAAGTCAAAATCAAATACTTTAGAATAGAAAAAAAAGTTTAACTGTTTTCTGATATACCAAGCATGTTAGGTACTATAGATACAGTAGGTAAAAAATAAGAGCTTTCCTGGAGTTTAAATCTGGTGGGAGTAAGACTAAGTAATTACGTATATGCATTTTAAAAAGCCACAAAAGAATGGTGTTAGGAACGGTTAATGCCACCAAGATCTTTGTTCCAGCAAAGTTGCTGAGATTCATGACACCATTCAAAGGCCGTCACAGTGCTTCGCCAGCCCTCAGTGGGCACAGCACTCCTCTGCCAGCCTGTATTTGCATTGTTCGTTACAAAGTGACAAGGGAAACCTCGAGGGAAGAATTTCTGTGACAGGTTGGAGCAAGCAAGAACTCCAGGTGGTTTTAACAAATAGAAAAATGTTATCGAGTCCAAACACTTTTTTAAAAACTTTTTATTTTGGAAATTAAAATATACACAAAAGTAAGGGGTGTGATGAATCCGGATCTGCTCATGTCCGGCTCCAGCCACAGACGACGTGGCCCGTATGTACTGTTTCATCTACACCCCACCCCCACCCTTCACCACGGGCTCATTTCGAAGTAAATCTCAGATTTCATTCAATTTTTAAAAACTTCAAAACTGCTGGTTAGACCTAAAGTTTAAATAAGATGCAGGTTCAATTTTTTTTGGTCAAATGCTTTCACAGGTGGTACATCCTTCCAATTGCAAGTCATCAGGAGGCACCTGAAAGTCCAGTTTTTCTTTGTACGACAGCAAGACTGGTCAGTGGTTTCAGCTGTGGTTAGCCTGGTCCACCTATTACAAAGTTGCCATCACGTTTGATCGAATGTTTCTAGCAGCTAGTTACTGACGGTCATTGCCTAGATGCATTATTTCATTAGGAATTGATATATCTCTTCCATCATTCCTCCTGTGTTCATGAATTGGAATTCCGTAAGGAAATATTGCTCCTTTCATCAACTATCCGGCGACTCCAGGGTGAAGGTTATGCCAGAAAGGCAGGGCGCTTGACCTTTCCCATGTACTTAGGGTTTTCCCAATGAGTTGGTTTCCTAGCCCCCACAAAAGGTAGCCAATGAGTTGGTTTTAAAAAACATCATTATGAATTTATGAATATCAGTATATTTGATGTAGGGGATTTTTGATGCTTAAAATTATCCTATTTTTAACCAGAAGGAACCCTTTTAATTGGCTTCTGTGTTCTTTTGACACTAATCTTACATAGTTTCTGGTAGGACAAGATGTCCCAAGCTATCATTTTCATTACCTGCCAAACCTGGACTTAGCACTTTCTCCAATTAAACTTTTAGTGGGAAGTGGTATACAGGGACTACAATTTCGACTAGTGACGCTGGTGGCAACTCAGTTAGTTTCTAGACTTCCTCAGCAGGTGGAGCCAGGGAAAAATTTTTTTAAATATCTGAATTTATACTTATTTCTTTGCATTCGATTTAGGGTTACAGTGTTTTCATTTAGCTTTTTAAATTTTACATTTACACCTCATTTTTCTTATGAAAATCTTGCTTTCTAACAACAGTAACAATTACTTATTTGCTTTATCCTGTTATATATAAGTTTCAGGATTAAAAAAAAATAAACATTACCATAACAGTATGATTACAAAAGAAAACCAAGTTTTCTTTGCAGTTTTTTTCTGTCCCGAGGCTGGCTATATACCACAAGATATATAATCAAATGTCTGTTTTAAAGCAATATGACAATACTCCAAAGCGATCTATAGATTCACTACAATCACTATCAAAATCTCAACAGCACATTTAACAAAAATAGAAAAAAAATTCTAAAATTCATACGGAATCTCATGGGACCCTGATTAACCAAAACAATCTTGAAAAAGAACAAAAGAGTTGGAAGTCTCACACTTCCTGATTTTAAAACATATTACAAGGTGAGTAAGCAAAATAGTGTGGTACCGGCACACACAGACAGACATCTAGACCAACAGAACAGAAAAGAGCTCTCAATGCGCCCTTATGTCAAATCGTCAACAAGCGTGACAACACCTCAATGCGGGAAAGATGGTCTCTTCAGCAAACGATGCTGGGGAAAAAATGGATGTCCACATGCAAAAGAATGAAGCTGGACCCTTACCTTACACCACATGTAAAAATTAACCCAAAATGGGCTACAGAGCTAAACATAAAACTATAGTATTTCCAAAAGAAAGCATAGAGGGAGAACTTCATACTGGATGTTGGCAATGATTTCTTAGCTACGACGACAAAAGCACAGATAACAAATTAAAAAATAGTCTAATAGGCCTACGCCTAACCTAAAAATTCTGTACATAACGAACTCCATCAACAGAGTGAAAGGGGAACCTACAGAATGGGAGTAAACATTTGCAAATCATATATCTGACAAGGGATTACTATCCAGAATATACAAAGAACCACTATAACTCAATAGCAAACATGTATGTCCTTGTGCACCAGATGCGCACTGAGCATTATTTATGGAATTGTAAAATGGTGTAGCCACTGTGGAAAACAGTGTGGAAGTTCTTCAAAAAATTAATAATTGAATTACCAGTAGTCTGCTCCCACTTCTGGGTATACAACTAGAGGAAATGAAGGCGGAATCTTGAAGAGATTTCTACACCTGTGTTCACAGGAACATTTTTCACAATAGCCTAGAGATGAAAACACCCCAAATGTCCACTGACAGATGAATGGATAAATAAAATGTGATATATACATATAATGGAATATTATTCAGCCTTATAAAGGAAGGAACTACTGTCACACACCACAATGTGGATGAATCTTGAGGACAGTATGCTAAGTGAAATAAGCAGTTACAAAAGAACAAATACTGTCTGATGTCACTTACATGAGGCATCTCATGTACTCGAATTCATAGACAGCCCCGTGGGCTGGGGGAGGGGAAATAGGGAGCTGTGTGATGAGCACAGAGCCCCAGTTTTGAAAGATGAGAACGTTCTGGAGATTTGTTGCACGACAACGTGAGTGTACTCGTCAGTGAACTAGACACGGGAGCAACCCATGTGTGTGGTCATTCTCCCGAGTCCACGGGCTCCTGAGGGTAGGCGGTGCTGCTCCCCTCTCCGTCCCCCGTGTCCAGGGCACATTCTAGAAACTCACTAGGTTCCTGACTGATGACTGACCGACAGAACACACGAATCAATGGCTGTAATGGAATCTACACAAAAGCAGCAATTAGAGACAGTGGTTGACTTCAGCCTTTAATTTGGTAGCACCTGTGATTATAGACAAAAATAATCTTTATTTCTAGGAAAAATATAAAACCATACAGAAGAACAAAATGAAGGCAGTTTAAAATATAACATTAAGATCTATAAACAGAGTATCACAAAAATTCAGTAGTTTAAAAGCATTGCCTTTATCACCTGAATGTCACCCATAAGGCTGCTGAGGAAAATGGTCACTAGCTGTCACATACAACAAGGAGCATGGCTGGCTTGGGAAGTCATAAGAAGCTACCCTCTTGCATTTCCAAGAGGGTTGGTAAACTCAGTCATTTCATTTCAAGCTACACAGTCGACCGCTTTGGTCTCTTCAGTTCCACTGTGGGGTTGATTCCCAGGAGGCATCGTCGGCTAAACAGGCCCCCCTGGGGCTGTGGGTCTTCTTCTAGGTGGTGAGTGCCGCCAGGTAGGGCACCCGCTCACCTGGAGCTCGGCACGTGGCTTAGCGTCATGGCCACGATGCTCTCTAGACACAAGGGAAGCGAGATGCCTTCGTCCATTCGAGCCACGTGCGCAGGGTTCAGAAGGTGGGGCTCGAAGTCCCAAGTGGGAAATCAGAGAGCACGTGAGAGAGCATGTCTCACCCATTCTTCGGGTGCACGTCGTTAGGCATGTCGCAGTCACAAAGGTAGAAAAAAGTTTTAACGTTATTAGGCCCCAAGTGTCATTAAATAGGAAAGATAATCCCACGGGTCGCTTGTGTGCGTGTAAGTGGACAAAGGGAGATGTCAGCCTGCAGCCAGGAGAGAAGGCCTGAGGCGCACAGAGGAAATCGGATTCGAGGAATGAGTGAATGGCTCTGAAACGAGCACCACGAAGCGCAGAAACACGGACCCGAGGGAGAGGAAAATTATAGAACAGGGAGGGCAAAAGTGGAAAAGTGTCATAAGGAAAACAGTCTTGGCTCAAAACTAAAGGAAACGTATTTATTTATCTAAAAAAAAAAAAAAGGGAAAGAAAATCTGCTAGACCTTAGCTATTAATATTGTA